GGACGGGCCGCGTGCTCGCCTCCCGCCGTCTGTGTCGCGCGGGCGCTGCCGGGCCCTCTGCCCGAAGGCTCCTCTCCCGATGGCTGGAACCGGGGAAGTGACAGCCGTCCGACCCGCAGTGTGGCGGGCCCTGCCATCGACCCCCAGCCTCCCCACTGCTGCCCCAGCCCTTCTCCAAGCACCCCCGGCCTGCGACCACGGCACATTCCCCGGGCCGCGCGTGTCCCCGGGGCCGGGGCCTGCCCCGGGCTCGTGGGCGGGCCGGGCCGCCGCCGGTGTCCGTGTGGCCCTCCGCCACGTGTGGGAGTCCAGCCCGGCGCTGCGGCGAGGCCGCCCCTCGGCCGCTCAGCCCCCGTGGGCGCCCTGATGGCCAAGGAGGGGGCCGTGCCCCCCACCGGAGCAGAGGCCGCCGCCGCCAGCTCTGCGCGCGCTCTCTGGCGGCGTTGCTGGTAGTAAAATGAGTCTTGTCCCGTCCCTCGGCGTCCCACGGTCCGAGGACGTGGCACCGACGCCCGGGCTCCTCCCGTCATCGCTGTCCTCCAGGTCCGGGCTGATTTCTTCTCCTGCCGTAAGGACAGATGAGTGTGCACGGAGTGCTTCTCTGCCGGTTCATCCTTTTGATCCTCCTGCTCCTGCGCTCCAGGAATCAGGTTCTTTTCTTTGTGGGTTCACTCACTGAGGGATTGTTGTCGAGATTCCACTTCTGGGGCTTTGCTTGGCTCCTCTGGCTCCACTCCCGGCCAGGCTGTTGGCTCAGGGAGACAACCACCCGGTCTTTTATCCCCTCTCTAACTACATGGCCAAATGGATTCAAAGTGTGGGAGCTCTCGAGCATTCTTCTTAATGTGCAATGGGGTTTTTGCCTGTAAAGTTTCTAATTGAGCACATACAGCCAGGAGGGGGGCTGCCGAAAGTTAGCTTGCTAAGGGTTTTTCTCCTCGCTAGAACACATGATTTAATAGCACTGATATTTTGAGTCATTCTATCACATACCTCATCTCTGCCGTCAAACAGTTTTGTTCCGAAAAGGATTTCAGTTGGCTTATAGAAATGTGTCCCATTACAAAAATAAATTTAAAATGTAGGTCAGTAAAATCCAGACAAAGGATAAAGTTAATAGGGGAGATGAGAAGCAGCCAGAAATTAGGTTTGTGAGAAAACTCCGTTGATGTTTTGTCCAAAATGGACCTAAGTTTCCCGTTAAGATTGTTGGTAGCCAGCGGAATGAGAAAGACTTACTGTCAGATGACTCATTGATGTGACCCAGAAACTTGGCCTTTCACGTTATGTAGATGGATTGAATATTTCTCCCTTCTTAATCAAAGAACTAAATCAAGGCTTGTGGTGTTTTTAGTTTTTGTTTTTTAATCTAAGGGAAGCAATATTCTGGTAAGAATAGGGCACGGTCATATTTTCGCAATGAAGAGGCAATGCAATACACTTTTCCATACAAAGTTATCTGAACATTTAGAAGGAAAGAAAGGAAATGTGGAGTCTGGTTCATTAAAAATAACAAGGCCTATTTCTTCGAGTTCACCGAAATTTAACTTCAAGACATTACTTGTGGGTGAGTAGGTGCCGCAGTCGTATTTCATCCGGTCCCAGAAAGAGTGACTATATTTACTCTCATTTCTTTTATAACTGTGAACATTGCCGTTTGTAGTATTACATAATTATATGTTCTACATCGATACCTAGTATACACAACATTGGCCTGACTCATCTGCCTGAAAAATCTAGAATTTCATTATGGTGAAGTTTATTTCTGTGCTGTATATTTACACAACACTGCCTTTGGAAAGTGTGTCCTATTATATCCACAGGGTTCAGGTATAAGCAGGTCAGTAACTGAAATTAGAGACACAGAAGTGCTTAAAATAAGCAGCAGAAAAACATCTTCTCGTTGGGGTTCTGTCAAGAAAATACAGACTAACTTACATTTTCCATCACATCTTTCCACAGGTCATAACCAAGATTTTCTACCATTGCCATGGGACAATGGAATTTTAAGTTATTGTCCAAACTTAAGGTTTGTCTTTTTTTTTTTTTAACCAGTAAACTAAGGGCAAATATCCATTTGCCTTTATTACAATATTTAAAAGGCCATGATATGAGTCTCTACTTCCTACAATGACATTTTTATAATAAAAATCCAGACATATTTATACAAACACAAAACAGAATTACTCTACACTTTTGGGGAACAAAAGGCAGATCAACAGACTAGAACTTCTTAGTTAATAAAGTAGCGCAAGAAACCTATAGAATGTATGGAATGTATAAAAATTCAGTTTTCTTAAAAGTTTCATTGAAGGGATTAATAATTATTAAGAATAAAAGATGGCAGCTACACTGGCTTGTAGTTATCCTGTAGACAGTAAAAAAGAAGCAATAAATTAGAAACGTCTGAGCTTCCAGTATGTCCCTTCTCTTGCACTGGAACCACTTTCATAGAAGTTAAAATAGACTCTCTTGAATATCAGAATAATTCAAGCAGAAAATAAACTCAATCAGGAATAAGATAACAGTCTACAATAGATTTTTGACAAACATATTAGATAAAAAATACTGTAAGTCACGTGAGGACTGATCTACATGTTATATGGCAGGGTAACTCAAACCTTCAAACTTTCTCTATTCTACCAGATTTGCTTTGTTGCTATTATATTGCCTTCTAAATGGTATGGTAGCAAGGTAATAGAAAAATAAAAAGTAAAAAGAACATAACAATTTCTAGGGTCTGTGGATTTATGAAGAAAACAAAACCCTCAAAATAATTTTTTCCTATTGCAATTACTTAGGAAAAAGTTTCCATTGGCACACTGAATTTATAAAAGTAAATGAAAACAAAGAAACTTAAGAGTGTTTGGCATTCCAATCACCCATAGTTAAGACAACAGTAGGAAAGCAAAGTAGGAAAAATTACTATTTTAAGAAAAAACATCAGAAGACAAACAGCCAAAGGCTCTTGCGTCTTCTACCATTCACTGTCTCTGAAATACTTTCGTCTGTAACACAATATACAAATTATTATTTACACTATGATTATATTGGTGAAGAAGACCAGAATTGGTTTTTGTTGTGCTCTAACTTACAGTGCCCATTGAGATAACTGTGACTGTCGAGGTAAGAAGGCCTTCAACAACAAAATGTTCCATTTGCATTGTATATTTTATTTAAATTTATTTTCTGGTTCATCTTCAAGTTTGGTGCGCAAATATGTAAGACTCTTGAAAAGTTCTGTAAACTTAGGCTGAGTTTCTGTAACTGACAACTGTTCACTGAAGATCGTGTATTTCTCTCGTTAAGTAAATTGTTCCTCAGGCTTACAAAAGTATTTCTTTAAGTAGTGGTATCTCCAAAGTCCTTGTTCCGATGTATGTATGCTTCTAAGGTTGGAGGGTTCACGCTGCGTTTTATCTTTTTCAAGGATTCAGTGAAGTCAGACAATCGAATATTTCTCATCTCACTGGCAGACACAGTCTTCACCTGTTCTGGTTTCAATTCTCGAATAGAACCCGGTGCTGCATCTTTTGCCAGTGAAAGACGGTGGCGCACAGTGAGACTCAACACCCGTTAAGGCCAAGAGATTTAATGGGTCGAACACGGTGGCTACAGGACCTGAGGATCAGGTTGTAGCGCCGAGGCAAGGGCGCGGCAGCTTTTATAGGGGCTTCAGGCGACCTGTCCGTCGTCTATAGGTCGGCTGGCAGAGCTTCATGTAGGTTGGTGAATTTTTTGTGGGCACGGAGAAGGGTGCGGAGGGAGAACAAAGGAAGGCACCGAGGAAGAACAAAGGAAGGCACCGTTTCAATCGCCATTTTAGTTTGCCGGGTCGCTGTTTCCAGGAAAGGGAGGAGACGTGGCTTTACTTGTGGCTTGGCGGTGGCCCTTCATTCCCACCTCTTTGGTTATACGGGAGAGGGGCAGCGTTTGTCTGTCCGGCTACTTCCTGCTGAAAATGGGCGGTGGTGGGTGAGGTGGGTGCAAGGACAAGCCACATGAGACCCCACAAGTAGGCGCCAAAAGAAAAAATTTCATTTGGGTGGAAGTCCTGGAAGGTGACTTGGAAGTGGAAAACGGCAAGCTGGTCTGGTCAGTCGTCGAGTGGACACGGGACAGGGAGGAGCCAGCTGTCACGGAGAAGGTGCTCAAGAAATGCTGAGAATCTGAGTGGTGGGTGGTGGGGGGTAAACTTTGAGGCGAGCACGTCTGAAATGAGAACACAAGGTTAGAGGTTTGTAGGGTTGGGACAGTCGAGACCTGGATCTTCGGTGGGCAGGAGGTCATAATTCTGTAGGAGAAGCTGGTTAATGCTTTGATTAGAGATTTTTAAAAGTTGTGACTGGAGAAACTTGATGATACAGAGGAGAAAGGAGCACAGACGGAAAATGAGAATGACAGGTGTGACTATAGGCAAAAGCCAGGTGAGGAGGGAGTTTTGTAATAGGCTGCCGGTTTGCGAAGGCTTTGCCCCTTGGAGTTGTGAGGAGAGGTGTTGTAATTTATTAATGTTTTGTTCAAGGACTCCTGACTCGTTAATGTAATAACAGCACTCCTCTTGGAGGAAAAGACAAGTGCCTCCCTTTTCGGCTGTTAGGAGATCTAGAGCCCGACGATTTTGGAGGGCTGCTTGTGCTATGCTCGCTATTTGTCTTTGTAATGATTAGAGAGAATTGGAGGTGGTGTCTAAAGCGAGTTGGATTTTGTTTTGTAAGTCTTCCATGGCCCATAGTGAGTAACCGAGAGCCCCTCCTGATAGACCTATGGAGGTGACTGCGGAAACTAGGGACAATCCTACCATGACTGCATCAGTGTTTGGGAGTTAAGAGGGCCTGGAGGTCAGCAGTGGAATAAAGAGAGAGCTGTGGGATCAGCGTACCAACTACACAGGGAGAGGTGAGATTGGAAGTTTGGGAGAGGAGAGTGCTGTTGCACCATAAGAAAAGGCCAGGCGGGAGGAAGTGCCCATTTGTAGAGCTTATGGTGGTTGAACAGAAAGGGTTATCTGAATAGAGAGTGGGGATGCTGGGCAGACCAATACAGAGGTAAGAGGAGTTGGATGACACTTCCCAAAGTGGAACATAAGGTTTGGTGATGGCCTCTCCCGTGGAAGACAGGTTGAGGGTACTGTTACTGTGGGGTGAGGCAGGAAGCGGAACGGCAGCCAGCAAAGGTCGTTGTAATGAGGCACAAAGAAAACACTGCAAAGAAGGAAGAGAAGGGAAGGATTGGTTTAAGAAGCGGAGGGTGTGGCCTATTATGGTAAGCCATGAAGGGAAATGTTGGGAGGGTTGTAAGGAGAGGTGGTCTTCTGAGGAAGGGGGCGATGGGTCTACCGCTGCCAGGAGCTGTTGTTTTGGGGTTTTTATGTGCTCCACCACTGATATCGTGACGGAAGGGGTAAAGAGCGAGAGACGGAGAGGCGCCCGGTGGGACGGGCGTACCCTTCCTTTGGGAAGACAGCTACGTATATGAGGTCTTTCCAGAGGATAGTGGTCGGATTAGGGATGTCAAAAGAGAAGTGGGAGAAGCGGCCTCCACACCCCGGAGTTCCTATGTAGTAGTGGACAAGGAAGCTTGGCCCCCCCATTTTGCTCTGCTGATTGATCTGTCAGCATAGTGAATTCTGCATGACCAATAGGGACAGCCACCGTATTGATCAGGCCACCATTTACAGTAGTCCTGGGTTTGGTCTTCTAGCAAGCATAGAAAGGGGTGATTAGCGTCTTGCAAACGTATTGAGGGCTTAAAGTTGAGGGAAATCGGTTTTGAGCAACTGTTTATGGGGCACGTTTTGGTGCCTAAGTCCTTGACTGTTTCTATCCCGCTGACCGTGTAAAGTTCGCGAATGGTGAACCAATAATGGAGGACGGACAGGGTAGTGGGCCTGATCTGAAAAGCGACGGCAAGGAGAAAGGCGATGATCATGTTGGGTCTTATTGATAGTGAGCAGAGGAGGGGATCGAGCAACCCGCGCCAAGGAGCAGCACTATGTACAGCGACGTGAAAGTAGGAGGAAAAGAAGGAGTAGGAAGAAAGGCAGCACTATTAGTAGGGAAGAAGGAAATTGATGGCCGTTTGGCGGAGGGGAGTTGTTGAGTGCAGGCGGCAACCTTCGCGTCTTGTGATTATGTGGATTTTCCTGGATGACGGGCAGGGAGGGGGAGCGAGCAACACGGGATGCTCAAAGTTTGAGAGGCTGGCCTGGAATAGTGGAGCAAGAATTGGTCAGTGGCTCTGTGGGGGAAGGGGTAGAGGGAGGCAGTTTAGCTGGTTTGAGGTGAGAAGCGTGAATCCAGGGACTGAGCTGTCCTTTGGTTATGAGCAGCCTGGCTGTCATGGGGGCGGAGAGGACTATTCAGAAGAGTCCTTGCCATTTCGGTTGTAAGCGAGTTCTGGTTGCTGGGTCTGAGAGGAAAACCCATTGCCCCAGGGTGAGAGGCTTTGGATTATGTGTTTCTGTGGGAGCGGGCAAAAGGAGATCTTGATATTGCCAGATATTGGAACAGATGAAGGACAGGAGGAGGTAGGTTATATGAAGGGAGGTGGAGAGGTTGGAATACCAGGAGGGAGTGCCCGTCTGCCGTAGAGGACCTTGAAGGGTGAAAGCTGAGTGGGCTTTTTAGGGAGGATGCGAACGCAGAAGAGAGCTAGGGGAAGGAGGGAGACCCAATCCTGATGGAGTTCGAGAGAGAGTTTGGTGAGGATATCTTTTAGTGTGCAGCTAGTTCATTCAACCTTTCCTGATGATTGTGGGTGGTAGGGAATGTGAAAGTGCCATTTGATGTTGAGGGCCATCATTAAAAACTGACGGGGGACATGATGGTGAAGTCCACTTGCCAGTCTGACCCAGGGAGCTCTCCCCTAGCCTGGTGAGTGGGGAACGTTCCAGCCTTTAAGGGGGTATTAGGATTTGTTTGGTGACAAGTAGAGCATTGAGAGGAAAGGGTGTGTATGAGTTTTGTATGTTCAGGAGTAAGGTGGAAGAAAGTTTTAAGACATGAAGTGAGAGCCGCTGGGTTTGCGTGGAAAATTGAGTGTAGGTAGGGAATGAGATTGGACAATTGTGGAACTTCACTCGGCCCGCGAGTTTCCTTGGGTGATAAAAGATGAATCAACCTGGTGAGCTTTACAGTGTGAGATGCCTATGGCCCTGGGAAGCAAGGAGGCTTGAAGGAGGTAGGAAATGAGCTTAGCATTTATGATGGCCGACCCTTTGGTGGTTAACAACCCCCGTTCTTGCCAGATGGCTGAGTGTGAAACCAAAATGTGAAAGACATATTTGGAGTCAGTGTAAAGCAATAGGGAGTGTCCTACCGCCCGTTGGAATGCTCGAGTGACTGCTGTGAGTTCTGCTTGTTGGTTAGTGGTGTTGGGCAGGA